ACCGGACGCCGTTAATCGCCGGTTGCTCTCCACAGGGCTTCTCTCGTGTCCCGGCGCCGCTACCAGCTTCCCGGTGAGTGCCACCCGCTCCGCCGTCCCCGGCGACTGTCCCACCTGCCCCCCAGGTCGCCAGCCGGGTCTCCCCTGGTTGCAGGGCGGCCCCTTCCCCAGAGCCCCAGGCCCTGGCTTGGGAGCCCTGGGGCTGAGCAGGGGGTATCCCCCCCACAGCTCAGGGACCCCGAGAGCCTGGCAGCCTCCTGCGAAGGGGGTCACATGTGTCCCAGTGGTCACCAGCCCCTACCAGCTCCACCTGCGACTGCCCTTCACGGGTCCGTGTGTCCCACTGACGTTAAGACGTGGGAAGGAGCGGGGGTCTGTAGCACGCCTGTGTCCTGACAGCACAGCTCAAGCCGTGCCAGGCACTAGAAGTCAAGCCTCAAGTGATAAATTCCCCTAAGAGCATGAAAGATAATGTGGTGCTTGATGATGCTGTGCCAGCTCCTGTGACCATGAGCGTGCCCGTATTCTTCCAAAGCTCTCAGATCAGAAGCTGATCAGAGAACTGTTTCAAATGGTGTATCCTAGAATTCTTATCTACCTGTCTTCCCTAGCCTGCCTGCTACAGGTATGCTATGCCTGGATGTCCAAGGGACTACAATCCAGTGTGTGGGACTGATGGAAAGACCTACTCGAACGAGTGTGTGCTCTGCCTTTCCAACAGGTAGTCACTTAATTGACATGCTAATCTTCCCTTCCTTGTATGCAAGCAAAACACACGCTGTGACATCCCAGCTGATAGATTATTGGCTTTGGATCATTCTCACTCTGATACAAACTGCAGTTTTAGCAATGTTCCCTCAGCTGTCAATTCCTTGCAGCAGTTTTTATCGTGGTACCTGTGAATGGCTTAGGTAGGATTCAGCTGAGTATTTGCTTTTGTTAATTCTTAAGGAGGAGTATCTCAGAGGGGGTTGCCTGTCACATTCATACAGTGCCACAGTACCTTTAGATACAATGGTTTATTCTTTCTTGTTCTCCATCAGAAAACGTGGAAGATCCCACCCAAAATGCAGCTTTTCCTACAAAATGTTTGCATTCAAGATCCAATCTCTTATATCTCCTTTCATAGAGAAGAGCAAGAATGCCAAATGTTAGAAGAAAACACAATTTTGCCATTGAATTTTTTTTTAAATCATGAAAAAGATGTCCTAATATTTGAGAGAGAGTGTTTTATCATTTAATAATTTAATATTTTTTTAAAACAAGTTGAAAATATAGAACATCAGTATTTAATGAGCATTGTTACCCCTCATTATGATTGACTTGAAAACTCCACAGAGCATCCTCTCAGTACAGAGTCTGGGTACAAACCACCTTGATGGTGAAAAGAATTGACATAAATTTTAAAAAAAAATAAATAAATCTGTTTCCAGCAGAGGGAAGAAGTGAGAGTAGCATGAAAGCAGTGATGGGCACTTACAAAATTACAAATAGATAGATGTCAAGAAGTGGAAGCCTGAAATGTATTTCTGACTTTGGGGGGGGGAAAGGTTGTGACCAGAAAACTTACAAAATGCAGGTGTCCAAGATAGAGGGAACATAGGCCAGAATAAGGAGAGTGTCAAAAGGACATTTAATTTCCAGCAGAGGGAAGAAGTGAGAGTAGCATGAAAGCAGTGATGGGCACTTACAAAATTACAAATAGATAGATGTCAAGAAGTGGAAGCCTGAAATGTATTTCTGACTTTGGGTGGGGGGGAAAGATTGTGACCAGAAAACTTACAAAAGGCAGGTGTCCAAGATAGAGGGAACATGGGGCAGAATAAGGAGAGTGTCAAAAAGACATTTAAGGAAATAATATTTTAAAGAAATTGCTGAAGTATGTTTAAAGGTATGCAGAGCTGCAGAATTTGGTAACATTTTCACTAAAGTACATCACAAGCTATGCAAGCAAATGACAAAATGGGAAAAGAATCGGTAAACCTACAGTCTGTGAGGGGAAAAGGGGAGAAAAAAAACCCAAAAACACAACTCACCAACAATACCCACTAGGGAATTAAAGGGCACACACAGTACAATCTGTGAAAAGAGGAGAAAAACTGTGCTTCCATGTTACATATTAGGAGCCTACCCATCTTTGCTGTCTGGAATGATGTTGGAGTAAGTTACTAAGTGATTGACTTGTAGACAACAGGAGGTAAAAAAGAGAGTAAACAAAGCTGAGAGAGATTTGCAACAAATAATTCCATCAAATCTTTGAGTTTTTTGGGGTTTTTTTGCAAGATAACTGGCCTAGCAGAGTAGGAGGAAAGAGAAGTGTTGCATCATGACATTAATAAGGCATTTTACATAGCTCCACTTGACATTCACATAAGCAGACAAATAGTTATTCAACTGAAATTGTTGAAGTATGAAGTCACAGGAGTTTGAAAAGCTGTGGTTTAAAACAGTAGTCAGCATTTTATAGTCAAACTGGAAAGTGGAATTTCCTTCAGGTGTGGTCTATAATTCAGTATTTCTGTAGTGAATTGGATATTGAAAACAGGATAATGAAAATTTGCAAAATGGCATAAAACAAAATGATCTGTGTGGGACAGGATCAAAATTACAAGGGATCTGGGGAAATGGTCTGAAGTCAGTGTAGTAAAAGTCAAAGAGAAGTACTAAGTATTGAACATAGAGAATGCAAATCCACATCATGGAGTTACAGACAGAAGAGCATTTCACAACATTAACAGCCTATTTGATCCATTCTCAGAATGATGAGCTTGGAGATCCAGCCTTACATTTCTAGCAGGTTTAAATTTTTAGGCATGACCCTTCAGTTCCAGATGAGTGCATGGTAGATTCCTGAATACAGCAACAGACATAAGCACAAAGGGTCTTCTAGGCAAAAAAACTGCTGTTTATTTCCACTCAGTTGCTCAAATAATTAATGACAGGGCTTATTTCTTAATTCAGTCATTGGCATACTCAGTGGCTTTCTAGTACATTCTGGAGTTGTTCTAACGTGCATGACTTGGCATGAACACAAGAAGGATAAAACACTTTGTCTTATTGTTAGAATTTCAGCTTTGACAAATGGTTCGTAGTCATAACCAATGGTCATTTCACTTCAAGGAGTCTAAAGTACAGTCCATCTACTCCTTAGGACAGGAGAAAGAAGAGATCTTTCTGCCCTTGTTAACAAGCTGCATGACCAGTAGTTGCCAAGATAAACAGTGTAATGTGTTAATATAGAAAGAGACATATGGGCATATCCCATAGTGAATTATGAAACAATCAGTTCTAAATTAACTTGGGTGATTCTCAACAGCCAACTTGCAGGTCACTTCCAGCCTGTGTTTAAGCCTGCTGAAGGACTTTTTAAAGGCAATTTTACTTCCCTGATGGCCAAGGCAATACCATCCACGGGCTCTTTTAGCCATGCAAGACTGTGTGGGCACTTGGAGAGCCCCCTGTGCATCAAGAGTACTGCAGGGAAGGTTGCTGTGGCTGATCCACAGGAACATGAGACAGCTGGAGCAAAGGTGCAGCACAAGCCCT